GAAGGTTGAGCTGATGCGCCGCGTACCGAACCGCAAATGGCCACAGATTTTTGGGGGCAGCCGCATGCATCATGGACGTACGAGCGACGTCCATGACCATGCCAATGCGGCGCTCAACAATCCCATTTTGTTGTGGAGAGTCCGGAAGCGTAAAGGTCTGGCGGATGCCTCGTGCACGACAATAGGCCCGCAGAAGGCCAGAGGAGAACTCCCCACCTCGGTCAGAGTGCAGACGCAGAACAGGAAAGTCCGAGCCGAAGCTCCTCCTGAGCTGGAGACGAGCTGCGCGGATCCAGTCGATCAACACCTCAGTGACATCACCCTTGCTGCGCAAGGGGAAGACTGTGGTGTAACGCGAGTAGTCGTCAACCACCAGCAAGAAGTAGTGCTCGTGACCCTGTCCACGGACGCGGGCCGGGCCCCACACGTCCATGTGAAGCGTCTGCAGAGGAGCCTCTGTCGGGGGAAACTGGGAGGAGTGAGGGGCAGCCCGGAGCCGCCCCTCGACACAGGGGACACAGGAAGGTCCTGGCCCCGAAGGAAGGGGAGGGAGAGACCGGGGGAGACCAGAGACAAGGACACGGGAAGCCATGCCCCGAAGACGAGGCAAGGAGGGGTGGCCAAGACGGTGGCTCCACAGGAGAGTCTCGTGAGACAGGAGGCGACACGAGCAGGGGGCAGACTTAGGACCAGACCTGGACGCAGCAGCAAACACCTGACCAGACGCAGCTACCTGGCCAGACGCAGGGACAGGAGGAGACTCAGTGGTCAGGGTGTAGAGACTCGACCCCGGCCGACACGAAAACGTGGCCAGGTGTCGGCCTGTGCGGGCCTCCGAGCAGTGGGTCACCCGCTGACTCGCAGGAGTAAACTGGTGAACCCCCGCATCCTGCAGGTCAGCACCACTCACCAAGTTCGTCGAGAACGAGGGGAGGTACAGATCAGACAGGGTGCCCGAAGGGGCAGCCGGACACGGGAGGACAGTGGATAAGTGAGAGAGGACAGGACCCCCAGAGGGGTCAGCCAGGGAGACTGCAACCGGCCGACCAAGCGGCGTGAGTGTGGTGCGGTCTCGAAAGAAGGAGCGAGAAGCCCCTGAGTCAAGTGTGAAGGTGAGGGAGGCCGAAGCCGACGCAGTACCTGAGAGCGCAGACGCACTGGCACCTAGAGCAGTAGCCTCACAAGCACCTAGCGCAGGAGTACCAATGCCCGGGTCGGGCGGGAAACACCGGTAACAGTCACCCTCCTCACTAATAGTCACAGCATACATGGCAGCAAGGATAACATCAAAGTCAAGATCAAAGATAGCTACGCCAGCCCTAGACAGCTCTCCCCAGCGGGGAATCTCACTAGCCTCGGGGAACTGCTGACGCCAAGCGTCTGTCAGGCGGCCAAAGCAGCGCTGGGTGGGGTGGGCACCCCCACACTGCTCACCCGCGCGGTCGCCGGAACGAATGACGTAGGTGCACGGACCAAAACCCCCACCCCGCTGACGCTTCGTGTACCACTCACGGAGCTGCTGGGGCGGGGGGATGTCCCGCGAACGCTGCTGCTGCTGCTGCTGGCGCTGACCACCACCAGAGCCGCTCCGCTGCGGGGCACCACCCCGACCAGCTCCACCCCCTCCGCCACCGCCGCCTCCACCTCCGCCACCACCGCCGCCTCCGCTCCCACCGCTGCCGCCGCCACCGCCTCCTCCTCCGTTGCTGCCACCACCACCACCACCACCACCACCGCCGCCTCCGCTCCCACCGCTACCGCCTCCGCCGCCTCCGCCTCCACTGCTGCCACCGACACCTCCACCCCCACCACCACTCCCACCGCCACCCCCACTCCCTCCGCCGCCTCCACCGCCACCTCCACCGCCCCCTCCAGCTCCACCCGCGCCCTTGCCCCCCTTGCCCTTGCCAGGGCGGCGTCTCCCGCTAGGGGCAGACGCCGCGCCGACCGACTCAAGACCAAGCAGGTCGGCAGCAGCAGCAGCAGCAGAGGCAACAGAGGGCAGCAGGGGGGAAGGAGAACACCCCTCAAAGATGGGGGTGCGAGGGTCACCACGAGAGGCTCCTACAGCGACGATGCTCTTCTCCGCCGCCAGGAGGGCCTTCTCGAGGAGGTCGACAGTGAGAGTGGTGGGACAGACTGAGAGGAAGTGGTCCCTGACTACGCGAAGGGAGTCAGGGAGGCGTGTGACTATGTAGTAGAGAGTGATGTACATGGGGGGGGGGGTTCTTGGCGCAGAACTCAGCAGGAAGGGCGGCGCGGTAGCGAGTGTCACTAGTGCGGAGGTGCGTAATGAGGTCAGCGACAGTGGGAAAGGCAGTAAGGTTAGGAAAGAGGTACGGTAGCATGAGGCGGCTCAGTGCAGCAGTGGCAGGGGAAGAATAGCGCGCAACTACAGCGTCGTACAAGGTCTGAGCACTCTTGTACTGACTAAAGTGGTAGGCAAGTGGCGACGCACAGCAAGACGTGCAGCAGCATCGCGAGTGGCCCACTGAGAGCGAACAGTGGGGTCAGCATCAGCAGCAGGGGCAGGAGAGGCGCCAGAGGTGAGGTCAAAGAGAGAAAGACCGTCCGCCCTATCGCACTGTAAGAACAGCTGCAGGTCGTCGACCCAGACCTCAAAGTCAATGGCTCGACCCTCAGCGTCAAAAGCGAGGACACTAGGGGTAGCCATGACGACGACAGTGTAGCAGTGCAAGCAGTAGGGGAAGGGCACGCAGTAACAGTGGTACTGTGCTCACCGGGCAGGGCAGGTCGGGCGGCTCGGCAGTAGGGCGGCCCGGCGACTCGGCGGCTCGGCTGCTGGGCGGCTCGGCGGCAGGGCGGCTCGGCTCCCGGGCGGCTCGGCGGCAGGGCGGCTCGGCTGCTGGGCGGCTCGGCGGCAGGGCGGCTCGGCGGCAGGGCGGCCCGGCTCCCGGGCGGCTCGGCTGCTGGGCGGCTCGGCGGCAGGGCGGCTCGGCTTCCGGCGGTTCTGCTGCTAGGCGGCTCTGGTGCAGGGCAGCGCGGTGGCGCTGGTTCAGGGCGGCGCGGCGGTCGTAGGCGGCGGGGCCAGAAAGGTAGGCGGCGGGGCCACGAAGGTAGGCGGCGGGGCCGGTAAGGTAGGGCGGCGGGGCCGCGAAGGTAGGCGGCGGGGCCGCGAAGGTAGGCGGCGGGGCCGCGACCGTAGGCGGCGGGGCCGCGAAGTGGGGCGGCGGGGCCGCAAAGGTAGGTGGCGGGGCCGCGAAGGTAGGTGGCGGCGGGGCCGCGAGGGTAGGCGGCGGGGCCGCGAAGGTGGGCGGCGGGGCCGCGAAGGTAGGTGGCGGGGCCGCGACCGTAGGCGGCGGGGCCGCGAAGTGAGGCGGCGGGGCCGCAAAGGTAGGTGGCGGGGCCGCAAAGGTAGGTGGTGGCGGGGCCGTGAGGGTAGGCGGCGGGGCCGCGAAGGTAGGCGGCGGGGCCGCGAAGGTAGGTGGCGGGGCCGCGACCGTAGGCGGCGGGGCCGCGAAGTTAGGCGGCGGGGCCGCGATGGAAGGCGGCGGGGCCGCGAAGTAAGGCGGCGGGGCCGCGAATTGGGGCGGCGGGGCCGCGAAGGTAGGTGGCGGGGCCGCGAAGTAGGGCGGCAGGGCCGCGAAGGGCGGCTCGACGCGACCGTAAGGGCGGCGCGACGGGCCGCTAGGGGCGACACGGCGGGTCGCTAAAAAAAAGGGAGCGCGACTCGAGGCGCGCTTTGGTGGGCCCTAGGAACAGTCCCTAGGAGGGGACCTGCTCTGATTCCATGTGAAAATGAGAACGAGGATGATGCACTAAGGAATGGAAGTGATACAAATATGGAACCCCAGAAATGTGTACCCCATATGTGCTACCCCACTAAAGCCTACAACAGCTATGTCATATATATCTGACATGTTGCAGGTCATAGGCTTATCGCGTGTGAGAGTACGCCCGTAAGCGATTTCTGGTAATCATTGATGTTCCGTCCCTCCCGCTTATTTCCCGTCCCACGCGCCGCAACTCCCTACCCTAACGCCACGATTCCCGTCCCTCCGCCCAGCTATTCCCTTCCCGTCGTGATACCTTTTCCCCGGCCCGATTATACCGTCCCGTGGTGCGTTTATTCTCTGGCTCGGACGTCTGTGCCCCCCCCCCCCCCCCCCCCCCCCCCATGTGCGGGGGGAAACGGCTTCGTCGCGCCGCAGTTCCGTTCAATCACGGGTAACGCCACTTAAATGTTGTAGAGGACTCTCCTCTACTTTGCAGGAACTGGGAGTTGTTCTAAACGATAGAGCTCTGTCTTAGCTTTCCAACGAGCCGTCAAACACGTCGATCGCCTAAGTATTCTCCGAGATATAGGCGTTCACGTGCTAGGTAGTGCTCTTGAATGCAAGTATAGAAGCTCTCTGGAATTTGTGTTCGAATGTACCTTGTACAAAGAACTCTGGTTTTCAGTATGAAACATGCATACAAAGCGCACACATTTATAGCTGCTCAATTTGTCGAATCGCACACGTAACATCGAGTTGCTACATGAAGTGTCGCGAATGTTCCGTGGGTAACATTTCGATGTGGTGAAATTTGTCAACCGAATTTCACACATTCGAATGTTCCTTTGGTCCTCGAATGTTCCACGTGCTGCCATGTGGCATCGAACTTCAAGTCTCCCGAAGTCAACCTGCACTTTCTCGAAACCTGCAGTGAAGTGAATCGGAAGCAACACATTCGGTGGTTGGGGGCAAACCTCCCCCCCACGCAACCTCCAATATTAAACACCCGTGAAACGCGTGTCTCCCGCCGCAAATCCCCCGTCTCCCGTCGGCTGTCCGTACGCACACTCTGTCGCTCTTTTTCCCGCACGATGCCACTCCCTACCACACACGCTTACATTCCCTTCGCCACACGATGCCTTTCCAACCACCCCCTACGCTGCCATTCCCTTCCTCTGCTGCTGCCTCTACCTTTCCCCTAAGCTGCCATTGTCTTCCCCTCTTGCTGCTCATCCCTACCCTCACGCTCTCCAAGCGCTTCCCATGAAGACGGAACCTAAAATCCGTCCTGTTGGCTTCACCCCCCCCTCCCGTTGCTCTTCACTTTCCCCTCCCGTTGCTCTTCACTTCCCTCCACCGTCGCCCTCGCTACCCCCTGCCATCGCCCTGCTCATTCTCCCGTCGCCCTCTCTTCCCTGGCTCACCCTGTTTCCCATGCTCCTTCTCTTCTCCCTGTCTCAGTCAGTCTGTCTCCCCTGCTCATTCTCTTCCCCCTCTCCCCCCCAAGGGCCCACCCACTCTTCCTCAAGTTGTTGGTTCACTTGCGCTAACGCCTCCTGTACCCTGGGCTCCCCTTTTTCCCACTCCCACCATCCTTTTTCCACCCCCTCCTCTCCCCCTTCTCCTGCAGTCGCTGGTGCACTTGCGCCATCGGTGAGTGTGGGCCAGCAGCATCACCAGCACCTCTGTCTCGCTGCTCCTCGCCTTCCCCCGCCTGCTCTCCGCCAACCTCGCCTGGACTGCCCTCTCCCACCACCCGTCCACCTCTCCCTCACTGCCCTGCTCCTCCCCCCTGCCAGTTCCCTCTCCCCTCCTCCTCATCCTGTCCCTCCGCCTCATCTCCTTCCTCCACTCACTCCTCCGCTTCCTCCACCCCCCTCACTCATCTCGGTCTCTCTGGTGTCTCAGTCGCTCCTCCCTCCTCCCTCTTCCCCTCCCACGAGCTCGCCTCTTTCACTCACTTGGACCCCTCCCACTAGCGCGGCGCCACACTTCCTACTCCGCACCTCACCACCCTCCACCGCACTCCAATCCTCCTCACGCCCTCACACCCCGCCGTGCTGCTAGCATTGGTTACAAGCAGAAGTATCCCCTACGCACCTCCACCTCTCTACTGCTGCTGACTCTGACGCCCTAGTGTAACACCTCCCCGCACAGCCCCTGGCCTTTCCCCCGGTTCCCCGGTCCAATCCCCAACTTCCCCTACGATTTTTTCCCCACCCCCTCAGGGCCACAGCGCCTTTTCAACCAGGTTGGGAAGTGAAAAGGTGGAAGAGGAGTATGCTTTGAGAGAGTTGGGGTGGAAGGGAAGGAGCACCTTTGCAATGGTAACAATGTTGGAACACATGCACGACCTTCACGTCGGCGGTGTGCGTTTATTCGGGGTGGTTGTGTAACCGATCGTTGATTGCTATTGAACTGTAAGGTGGTCGTCGAGCATGCAAGTGGAATGGACCCGATGTACCGTACTGTACACGTTTTGCAGACACTCGGATGGGGGGACGAGATAGTGCATAATGCCTTGAAGAGACCCACACCCGCCATATTGGTAACAAGGAGACCCGAGGACAGTCGAGTGCACGTTAGCTCCAGACAGACCAGTGCATCTACCGTATGGCATGTGTACATCTGACCCCCCTATGGGACAGGGGATAACAATGGTATGGTAGATCTGTTGTTGGCGTCTAGTGTTCATAAAATGACCTAAACGTAACTATCACTACAGTGTTTCTGCAGCATGTACACAACCCTCCAATCCCTCCCTCTCATCCCTTCCAGCCTCTCCACACTTCATTGTGCATTATTATATCAAATATGCCAGTGCCACCGCTGCACATGTGCCCGCACCTGCCCTCCCTAGCGGGGGCACGTTGAGAAGAGTGAGAATCAGAGGCTGATGTAGTGGTCTGTGGCATAATCATCCACTTGAACACGCTGCCACGCTAGTGCAGGCCCATATCTGCCACCACACGACACAGACATAAGGCATGGGGGGGGAACTATTATGAGTAACATTGTGTAAGCATGGTGAAAAAGGGTGGCAAGACACAGGTTTGGAAAACCGAAGGTACAAGAATGGAAGCATGGATGGGGCAGCAAGCACAACCTTACGTACACGGTGTGTGTTAGTGGAACACAGAGGGAAGAAGGGCAGAACAAGGAAAGAAGACCCGAAATAGATACAGGAATGGGTGGAAGTGAGGGGGAGCACGGATGGAAGAGAGAAGGAGCAGGCGGGAAAATGACGGGGAGCAAAGGGGGAATAGGAATGGAGAAGGGCGGAAATGAGGGTGAGAAGAGGGGGATATGTGCTTGGGAGCAAGGCGGGAAATGATGGTGAGAAGTGGGGGGACTGAGAGGGAGCAAGGGGGGAGAATGAGAGGGAGCAAGGGGGGAGAATGAGAGGGAGCAAGGGTGGAAGTGAGAGGGGGCAAGGTTAGAAATGAGGGGGGCAAGGCGGGGGAGTGTGATGGAAAAGGGGGGGGAAATGAGAGGGAGAAGGGGCGGACATGTGGGGGAGAAGGTGGGGAAATGAGTGGGAGCAAGGGAGGGAAATGGTGGTGTGGTGACAAGGGGGGGGGGGGGGGGAGGGGGCGGCAGATAGGGAGCTACGGGGGGGAATTGAGACAAACCCTGGGGAAATGAGCGGGAGTATGTGGGGAATTGAGAGGGATAATAGGGGTATTTGAGAGGAACATTAGGGTAGATGATGGAGGGGGAGAAAGAAAGGGGCAGGACGTGGGGGGGAGGATGATTGGGGGAGCCCAAGGGGGTGTTTATGAAAGGGGCAGGTCATGGTGGGGAGAATGAAAGGGGAGATCGAAAATGTGAGAATGAAAGGGGCAGGTCATGGGATGGAGAATGAATGGGGGAGATCGAGGTTGTGAGAATGAGAGGCGCAGGTCACGAGAGGGAGAACGATAGGGGGGGGAATGGTTGGGGGGAGTTCGTTGGGGGGGGATGATAGGGGGAGCTCGATGGGGGGAACATGATGGGGGGAGCTGGATGGGGGGAGAGAGTAAAGGGAAGGTCGATGGGGGGAGAATGAAAGGGAGTGCTGGATGGGGGGAGAATGATAGGGGGAGTTCGAAGGGGGTAGAGAAATAAGGGGGGGCTGGATGGGGGGAGAGTAAAGGGGAGGTCGATGGGGGGAGAATGATAGGGGGAGGTGGATGGGGGGAGAGAGTAAAGGGGAGGTAGATGGGGCGGGAATGGAAGGGGTCCCTCAATGGGGGGAGACTGGTAGGGGGGGGTTCGACGGGGGGGGGGGATGATAGGGGGAGCTCGATGGGGGGGGGAATGATAGGGGGAGTTTGATGGGGGGGGGGGATGATAGGGGGAGCTCGATGGGGGGAGAATGATAGGGGAAGCTCTATGGGGGAAGAATGGTAGGGGGACCTCGATGGGGGGAGAGAGTAAAGGGGAGGTCGATGGGGGGAGAATCATAGAGGGAGGTGGATGGGGGGAGAGAGTAAAGGGGAGGTAGATGGGGGGACGGTCGAGGCGTGAATGCGGTATGATAATCGCGTCAAAGCAGACCCGCCGTAGTATACGCGCCCATGTTCAAACGCGATGGGTCTGATGCGGCTGTGCGAACGCGAAGCCGGTTCGCACAGTTGTACGATGTCCGGCCTTGTCGTCTAAAGACCAGCCGCGAAATGCGGCTCGGCGAAAGCGACGCGGCATATGGCTGGGCGCACTTCGTTCATGTGGGGATCGCGAAATTCTGCGTAATTCTACCACCTAGACCTTAAACGTATGAATTGGCAGGGTGCTTTTCGACCTAAGCGTCACGGACGCCCATTATGAAAGTTCTCCTCCTCACCGCCATAGTGACACCTTACGTTCCAGCAATGTCGCGTCACCCGCCTTTTTTCCTCACGTACCTCTAGTTTTATGGGCCAATGTGTGTGCGAGCAGCGCGGTGTAGGAGCTTGTTGCTCGAGTAGCAGTATATTAGTGGCCTAAGAAACGCGGGAAAAAACGCTGGGAAATTTGGGACAAGTTTCTTTGCCTGGTAGGCATGTGTGAGGAGGTTGGCTTTGGCCAACATTGTCGCCCTGCAATGTGCTGAAGTGGTTGTCGTCCTGGCGACACTGATTTCGCCTGGGTTGAGTTCACGACCAAGGTTGGGTGTACATCCGTTCCCTCCAAGGCAACCGGGTTACACCCAACCAACGTTAGGAAGGATGAACCACATTTCCCTTTCTTGACCCACGGGTTTTAAGTGAGGCTTGATGGGGAGGAGGAACAAATATTGATGACGGGAAGCAGCGGTGATGCTGGGGCTTTGACTGGGGGTTGGCGGGGGCCCCGGGGGGTATGGGGAAAGGGGATTCGGGGATGGGGAACTGGGTCAAGTGCGGCTGGGGCAGTGTTCAGTTTAGGTCGGTCAGAAGGCTGGGTTTAGAGGGTTGTACAGGGGTGGGCAGGGTGGAATGGACAAAGACAAGGGTTTGCAGTGAATGTGGATTCTTCCGCACTTGCAGTATCGCCGAATTCGTACCTGCCAGATTGTAACCAGCTACGAATGGTTTCTGTTTTGCCGAGTCATATTTGGGACATACGGTGTACACTATGTTAGAAATGTTGAGTTATGTAAGAAAATTCATCTTCCTTACTTTGCGTCCCTGCTCAGCGCGTACACCACTGTTCCCACCAACAGCACCTAACAGTAATCCGTAACCACGCGACACTCGCCTCGACACTGTTCCCGCCACTGTTCACGACGCGACCCAACCTCACGGTTCGTTTGGTAACCCGCGCTCCGGACTTCCGCCTCGACATTTCCCAACCTCGGCGCTGGGCCCATCGCACACCCCATTTTCCGCACATTACCATTACCACTGTAGTTTCGCTATATATTCTTCGCTCATGCCTTCGCTCATTGTACTTTTGCTTCAATAGTGCAATTCTCACTCGCTCACTCAATTGCACTCGTAACACTTGATTATCACAGCTTACCATCTCTTCTCGGACCGCGCCCACACCTTCGCTTCCCCACTATCTCAATTTTTTTTGGGGGGGTAGACGTCTCTTAGCGACACAAGCACCGCTGCTCAAAGTGCTCTCTCGTAAGCACGCACGGCCACGACAGAGGCTCTCGCTGAGCTTGCCCAACACCCCTGCCATGGCTGAATTCACTCTCGCGACACTGACACAGGAGCAACTCGACCGTCTCGTGGGCCAACTTGAAAATTCGACACTTGAAGTCGCAACGCCCACGGCGGAACTTGACGCCGCCCGCCGGCAATCTGCGACGAACGCACCTACACCAACACAGACACCCGCTAATGCACCTACACAGATGGACGAGCCCATCGGCATCTCGTCCGGCACACCGTCACAATACGGCAACGCGGGACCGCGCTCAGGCGTAGCCAGTGATGGCGCCACTCAATCGATGCCTAACATGGAGAGAAACAGGGCCTCGCCAAGTCCACAGGAGCCTCGCGAAGCCCGTCGACATGTGGAATTCGCAGCGACAAGTGGCCACCACGCCATCATGGCACCAATGCCACTCAAGCCGCAGCACCCGCTTTTTTTCGACCCGAGCGAGCGTGGAGGTTCGACGGTTCAGTAGTGGGTCATAACGATGAACGTGTTTTTCAATGCGAACTACATCGAGCCGGACGCAACAAAGATCAGATATGCCGTCTCGCTGCTGAGGGGCCCCACCATGGACTGGTGGCAAGTCATCGTGACGTCGCCACGCACCTACGAGCCACTGTCGCAAAAGGAAGGGCCCACGGGTCCAGCCGTCACCTGGAGTTCATTTTGCAAAACCGCCCAGTACAGCACGTGGGATGCGTGGTGCGCAAGGCTTCGGGCGCGCTTCGAGCCGATCGCGGCTTCTATATCGGCGCGTCAGAGACTACGTACTTGGCGGCAGCCCGGGTCGGTTTGAGATTATACGAGCGGTTTTCTCGCATTATGCGAGCAACTCGGCTACATGCACGAAGCGGAGCGGGTGGACCGT